CCCCAAAACCCCAAAACCCCAAAACCCCAAAACCCCAAAACCCCTTAAATACTACAGTGAATTGAATTATGACATCCTAATTTGGGCGTCCAAAATGTTCTTCATCTGGACTTTCATCTTATATTTCCCTTCAAGCTCCTTAAACTGTTTGAAATGGTCCTTCTTGTGTAGATTTAGGGTAAATTTTGGATTGAAAAGGTGAGTTACAGTTAGTCCTTTGTTCTTAACTGTCCTCATCTCATCCCATTTCAGCTTAAGGTATCTGAGAATTATGCATGCAAGCTGGTACTCTCCTCTAAGAATGTAATGATCTAATACAATTGATGTAAAATCTAGAGGAAGTTCTGATGTCAGGAAGGACATCCTGAGATCGTTTATGTAATCTTTCAGTTTCAATCCGCTCTTAGTGATTCTTGTGATGGCTCTTGAGCCCCATTCTGAAAAATCAGTCTTAAGCTTTTTGATGATGAACTCAGTTGAGGCATCAGACTTTGTTTTTGCTCTAATTTCTGAGATACAAATAGTGTTCTTCTCAATTGTGTTGAACATAGCTTCCTCATCGACTCCTTTCTGCTGAAGATTGTTTACAATATGATCGTTATTTAGCACCAAATTTGAGAAGCACTTGTAAGCAGAATAATCTGAATGGCAATACAACACAAAGTGGAAGCAAAGCATTATGATATCATGCCCACAGAAATACATATCTCTTCTGTGGATTTCGAAGAAAATGTACAGCATCTTTACCATTTTCTCAGAGATTTCTTCAAAGTCAATCAATGATTTCTCTAAAATATTTCTGTATTGATCAATGCAAGATGAGACAGCTATCTGGTACTTGTCTTTAAGAATTGGATTTGTGCCATATTCTGTTCTGAAATTTGTGTCTAGAGAGTCATAAAGCACCTGAGTCATATTTTGACGATTCTTGATAAAGACAGGGTAAACAATAGCTTTAATCTTAGTGGGAATTCCAGCCATGATTAAGTTACTAAATTTCATGGTTTTCACTCTGACTTTCATCTTAAGTCCTTCTTCAGGCTTTTTAGAGACCTTTGGAACTTCGTACTTGATCTTAAGATCTTTATAATCCTTTGGGGTAATTTCATCCTCAACAAAATTGAAGTATTTCTGCCAATTTGGGATAATTTTGTCTTCCCAAACTACTTCTTTGACTCTATCATATTTAAATTCAATAAGAGAGGGCTCTTGATTCTCTTCAGCATATTGGTCGATCTTCTTCATTTTGTTTACTTCAGCGACTGACTTCAGCCTATCATACCAAGTCTGCACATCTCTGGTAGAAGTACCATAGAAGTCGAATGACCTCTTGTCCGTTCTGATTGATAAGCAGAGCTCTGCTTCCTGAATTAGTTCTTGGAACTTTGCTTCCTTCATATACTTCAGAAAAATATCTGTGATCCCGATCTCAACATCAGTGATATCATTCAGCTTAAGAGAAGAGGAGCTACTCTTGCCTTCCTTAAACCACAGAAGTTTGGTTTCTTGCTGGTTGAGAGCAATTTCCTTCTTCCGGATCTTGAGTCCTTTCATTTCAAGCTTATACATCTTGGTACGCTCCCAGAAGAAGATATCACCTGGAGTAGCCTTCCAGGCAAACTTTTTAACTTTTCTGATAAAATCAACATTTTTGTCAGCAGCATACTTGCCTTCAGAGCCAACACGGATGTCTAGATCGTGAGGAAGGAACTTTCCTTCTTGGATTTGTTTGTAATATTGGTCAGCTTCCTTAAGAGTGATTATGTTCTCCCCAGTGTCCTCCACATAAGTCAAGAACTGCTCAAATGTCACCTTGAAGTGTTTCAATTTCTTCCTCTGCTTCTCGATGAAAAAGAATAGACAGTTCAAGATCATGATGAGATTATCTCCTGAGATAATCTTGTCAGGGTTCTGATTGGAGTATTCTTCGCAAAAGAACTGATAGAAAGCTTGTCTCTTCTCAAAGTCTGAAGGTGGGCAACATTTTGTCAGGATCGTTAATAAGAACTCCTTGATTCTCATATCGAAGAAAGAGAAGCATTCAACGAACTTACCCTTCGCTTTCAAAGCAAAGTCATCAGTATTTAAGAACATAAACTTAGTCTTAGCAGTCAAGTCTATTGGCATGCAATAGAGAAACTTGGCGAAATGGTCTGGACTATGATCAGTGATCTTGTTCTCTAACAAAATATCTTTTGCTTTTTGAGGACAGACTACAAATTCAAGTGCAGCATCTTCTAAGACCTTGGATTTCTCTGGGTCAAGCTTGGTTAATTCCTCAAATTCGCTTCCTTTAGTAACTCCTTTACCTTTGAATTCTTCAACCTTGACATTGTTGTAGACCTAAAATTGACACAAAGAGGGTACTCTTTCAATATAATAGTCATAGTTCTTCTTTAAGAATTGGATTGTGCCGATCTGGTCAAGTTCATTAAATGGCTGAGAATCATTGATATCATCATTGCTGACATCGCTGATGGAGTCTCTTCTACAAAGGAGTTAGTAAGAGAGCCTGTACCTATCTGAGAGTTCGTCTTCCTTAGTCTCTTCTTTTGGAGATTCATCATCTTCATCTTCACAACCTTGAAATTTGAGAAACTTCACTGTGTTCTCATGATCCTCTTTATCAAGGAAATCTTTGGCTCTAAATATTTCAGAGGCAAAACTCACGTTTCATAGGCTGATGGACCTAGAGAAAGTTTTCCGTTTGTCCCAAGCATCTCTGTTTCTAAGAAATTAACTTTAAATTCTTGTTTTTCAGGAGTATCGTCTCCAAAATTCATCTGAATTTCTTGTAATACACCTATATTCAATGTATTCCAGCATGCAGACACGGGTATTTGATGGTATTGAAGTAACAGAACCCAGTAAGTACTCTTTAGCAGCTAAATCCGACCAAACTGTTGAAGAAGGGTCTAGCTAGCACTATCTTTGAAAACCTACCTTGGCTTTTTCCTTCCATGTTTGAATATTATTCAGTTGGCTCAAATTCAAATTAAGAATTTAACATTGGGGTTTTGGGGTTTTGGGGTTTTGGGGTTTTGGGG